TCAACATTTACCGGAGTGCTTTAATTAGAGACACATACTCGCGGTCATCGTCATGGAACTGGCCTGAGGTCATCTGCAAACAGAGATTATCAAGATCATCCCGTGTCATTAAGAAACTGGCAGACAGATCACTGTGAAACATCACACACTGTATGGCACTCAGGCACTCCGCGTTAATTTGTAGTGGGCGTGGGCGTTTCAATTTGATCGAAATGTACAAATTAACTTCCCTTGCCTCGAATCGTCGTGATAATTTTGCAATTTAGGAAGAGTCTTCCCACGTCGCGCTCGTAGTGCGAATCTCGTGGCCTCGGTTTGGAAGGGGAAAGAAAAAGGAGAAAAGAAGAAAGAAAATTAAAAAAAATACTGACCACGCATAATCGATTTCAATACGATCGTAAGGCAATACAATTTAATATAGCTTATAGTTCGAAAATTAAAGAATCTAAATGATCTAGGCTTTATCATCGCGATTCGATTCACTTTTGATTCGATCGTTTAAATCTCGCGCTGTGTATAAAAATAAAAAATAAGCAAGTGTCTCCAATGATTTTCGACGATGGCGGGTTATAAATATCCCGCAGCGACCGCGCTACATTGCCTGACAACCCGCACAACCGAAGATAAACCGACAAAAGAACTATCGGAACGGTTTTGCATCGAATATACCTGCTGTTTTTTTTTTTTTTTTTTTTTTTTTTTTGGCGGTAACGCCGTTATCCGCAGTAAAAAACCGCCCTGGTCTTTTTTCTCCTTTTCTCTCGACGGAAGAACGGCGAAACGCGAACAATGCAGAGAGAGTTCCCGAATTTTCTTTTTTTGTCCTCGCGATGGAAAATTTCTTATGTATTCCGAGTGACTCAATCACTCTAACGCAACGCTTGGAAAATACTTGGAAAGCATCGAAGCTCTTGTTCTTCAAAAAAAAAAAAAAGAAAAGATTCTTTCACCGCCTCTCCTTGATGGAATGCATTGTTCAATATGCTCATCTTGAAATGCGTTGAAATTTGTGTGTAACAGCTAGATTCTTCTGTATTTTCTTTTCTTTCTTTTTTTTTTTTTTTTTTT